GTCTTATGAGGAAAGGCTGAAAGAATTGGGTCTGTCTAGCCTGGGAAAGAGAAGGCTTAGAGGGGACACGATTGCAGTCTTCAAGTATCTGAAGGGCTGTCATGTAGAAGATGGAGCGGATCTATTCTTTCTGGCTCCAGATTGCAAGACTTGGTCTAATGGGTGGAAATGACAAGGGATAACGGCTGAATGACCTGCAAGGTCCCTTCCAGCTCTAACAGTCTATGATTCTATGATACATCTTGCGCACGCGGGCAAAGCAAGCAGGCAAAGCGAAAAGCCGTTAACTTTCCCAGCCGAGAAAAGCTGCAGCTGTAGCATCTACAAGGTCCAGCATAAGATAGCAACAGTTGGTGAGCCAGGGAGAGCTGAGGCAGGAGGGCACCCCTCCACATTCCAGACTTATGACAGGGCTACCTGACGTCAGGGCTGTTGGAGGAACGTGGAGGGGAGAGCGATGTTCTAAGCCACTTCCTGTCCCAAGGATGCGGAGGGAAGTGGGATAGAAATCAATAACGCCCATGCGCGAACGGCTGGAATAATAATCTTTGTATGTGTATAGCTTACGGCAGGGCTTTTTTTTGTAGAAAAAGCCTAGCAGGAACTCATTAGCATAATAGGCCACACCCAACAGCCGAAACCCATTAGCATATTAGGCCACACCCCTGACAACACAGCTCATTAGCCTATTAGGCCACACCCCCATGTTACCAGAAGTGTGCTCATCCAGCCACACCCACCTTTTGCTTCTTATTCTGTTTACCTTGTTTGTTGTCAAAACCCAGGGCCTTTTTTTGTAGCAGGAACTCCTTTGCATGTTAGGCCACACACCCCTAATGTAGCCAATCCTAATGAGTGTCTGCTGTTAGGTGTGGCCTATTATGCTAATGAGTTCCTGCTGGGTGTGGCCAACTCGGGAGCCAGCCGGAACTCCGTTCCTGCCCAAAAATAGCCCTGGCTTGCAGTTGGAGGTACTCCGTTACACATTTTCTGGAGGTGATAGAGAGGGCCAGTCGAAAGTTCTTCCTTTGGGATGCCCTCTCCTTCTAAAAGCGAAGGCGTTTGAGAGCCAGCGAAGTGCAGTGGCTAGGAAGTTGGGCTAAGACCCAGTTTCGGACCCCCGCCCAGTTAGGAAGCATGCTAGGTGGTTTGGGTCAGTCATATTGGCTTTGCACGACCTACCCTGCAGGGTCGTTGTGAGCAGTGTTCCCTCTAAGCTTAGCCTCCAGCTCACAGATTTTTGTCTTAGCTCGGGAAGGGATGGCTCCAGAGCAAACTAATTTATGCAGTAGCCAAATCACCTGCTCACAGCTTTAATGCCAGGAGCTCACAAAGTAGGATTTTTCCTCACAAGACATCGCAGCGTAGAGGGAGCATTGGTTGTGGGGAGGGGGAAACCACGTGTGCTGCCCTGAGCTCCTTGGATAAGTGGCCGGACAAAAATGGAAGGAGGGGCGAGGCTGCGGCTGGTGATGAGGAAAAATCTTTCACGGGCAGTCTTCTAAATCTACGTATTATGTTGTCTTTCTCGTAACGCAGAAAAGAGAGGCGCGCCATTGTTGTGTGTTCAGACATAGTTTGTCTTATCAGGTAAATTTCTACCTTGTCGGTCTTAAAGCTCTCACAGCAGCTAGCAGTGCACAACAGCATAAAAATGGTATGATACCTCATTCAGACAAAAATATATATATATTAATAAATGCTAATCAAATCTTTGGGTTGAATCACACAATAAATCAGTAATGGAAAACAAGAAGAAGAAAAAGAGGAGGAGGAGGAGGAGATTGGATTTATACCCCGCCCTTCACTACCCGAAGTAGTCTCAGAGAGGCTTACAATCCCCTTCCCCTTCCCCTCCCCACAACAGACACCCTGTGAGGTAGGTGGGGCTGAGAGAGCTCTGACAGAAACTGCTCTTTTTCAAGAACAGCTGTGCCAGAACTATGGCTTGCCCAAGGTCAGTCAGCCAGGTGCAAGCGGAGGAGTGGGGAATCAAAGCCGGGTCTCCCAGATTAGAGTCCGCGCACTTAACCACTACACCAAACTGGCACCAAAGATAGGCACCAACTTGTTTCAGCACATTATGACTGGGAGGATAAGAAGAAGAAGAGGAGATTGGATTTATACCCCGCCCTTCACTACCCAAAGGTGTCTCAGAGCGGCTTACAAACTCCTTTCCCTCCCCCTCCCCACAACAGACACCCTGTGAGGTAAAAGAAGAAGAAGAAGAAGAGATTGGATTTATACCCCGCCCTTCACTACCCAAAGGAGTCTCAGAGCGGCTTACAAACTCCTTTCCCTCCCCCTCCCCACAACAGACACCCTGTGAGGTAAAAGAAGAAGAAGAAGAGATTGGATTTATACCCTGCCCTTCACTACCCAAAGGAGTCTCAGAGCGGCTTACAAACTCCTTTCCCCTCCCCTCCCCTCCCCACAACAGACACCCTGGGAGGTAGGCAGGGGCTGAGAGAGCTCTGACAGAAACTGCCCTTGAGAGAACAGCTCTGAAAGACCTTATGGCTGACCCAAGGTCACACCAGCAGCTACACATGGAGGAGTGGGGGAATCAAACCCTGTTCTCCCAGATGAGAGTCCGCGCTCCTAACCACTATACCAAAACTGGCTCTCTTTGTTAGTGGAATGGGACTTCCTTCCCTCCTCCTCCTGTTTCAGTTCACAGTGACCCTGACCCAGCTTGGAGAGGGGGAAGAGAGGGGACTGTTGGAAACACCGTGAGGGTTGAGTTGGCGGTCCGAAGCAGGAGGGGGGAATCAGTGGAAATTTACCCGGTAGAGATCACAGCAAACAAGCAAATGAAAAAGTCGAGAAAATGAAAAACCCCAGCGACGAAGGCAGACATAAAACAAATCGATAGCAATTCAGTGACGGGGACTTCAGAAGATGGCAGGGCGTCGAGCCGGGAAACAAAAAAAGATTGATTATCCAGACGTCAAATACGTAACTAGTAACAGACTGGCTCACAGGGAATCAGCAAAAAGCCTGCACAAGCATACGCACCTTCACCTGGCCTCAGAAACACAACAGATCCGGCACTAGGAAAATGGCTAGCGGGGGGGGGGGGGCTGATCTGGGGGGCCACGACTGAAAAGGCCCTGCTGCTTATACCGACCTGCCTGGCCTCGATGAGTGAACTTTGTAAGGAAAAACAACTGTGATGTGATAACGAAACCTTGTCAGAAAAAAATACATCTTCTTTAATTATCCAGTGAATAACAAATCATAAAGGTCTTGAGAGAATTTTAGAGGGCAGCGCATAGCTGCTTTTCACATAACCAAATGGTGTAAGCTAGAAAGGAAGAGGGAGCAGGAAAAAATCCCAAAGGTGTAAGGTCTCATCTGATGAAACCTTGAGTGAAATAATCCATTGAGCGCTGTACCCTCAGGAAGAAAAACTTGAGACCAGTTTACTTAAGAGAAAATACCTTTATGATTTGTTATTCACTGGATAATTTAAAAAGATATATTTTTCTCTAACAAGGTTTCACGGTCGTTTTTCCTAACAAAGTTCAGCCTGTCCCGTGATCTCCGTCCTTGACTTCACTGGCCTCCATTAGTGGCAGAAGATGAAACAGGCCTGAGGTGATGGACAGGGCTGCGTGGGAGTTAGGTTTAAGGGCAAACTCTGTGTGTGTGTGTGTGTGTGTGTATTACTTGATGTAGGCCTTTTGTGTGTGTTTTTTGAATGATTTTTTTATTTATTTTTTCAAAGCAATTTATGCCATACTGTTGCTAATAAAAGAGATACATGAACATAGAAGTCCATTTCAATAACATACAAAAATTAAGTCAAAGGTAGTGTAACATTTCAACAAAGAGATCTTCTATAATACCCAAGTTCGCTAGTTTGCAGAGCTAGAGGAGTGAGGATTACAGATAATATCTTTTCCCATCAGGCTTTAATAATATTGTTTCACATCAGTAACCATTTATGATAATATGAGTTTGCAGGGAGTATATCATGTGAGATGAAATACGAGAATATTGGAAACCAGGTTGATTCAAATTTGGAATTGGACACCTGAGACAATTGTGCTCTATGTACACTGTCTGAGATTTTTGCCATCACAAATTGTTCCCACACTTTTTCATGCCAAGCAGTTATTGTTGGTGGTGAAGGAGATTTCCAACATGAGGCTATTGTTAGACGTTCTTGAAAGAGCTCTCTCAGCCCCACCTACCTCACAGGATGACTGCCGTGGAGAGGGGAAGGAAAAGGAGATTGTAAGCTGCTCTGAGACTCCGAGTGAAGGGCGGGGTATAAATCCAATCTCCTCTTCTTCTCTCTTCTTCTCTTTTGATCTGTCTATCCATCATCTGTTTCATGTTCAGTTTGGCAACCTGCATTATGAATGAACGAACACACACAAATACACACACACACACACATATGATTATGTATGTATATGCAGGGGTCATTTCATAGAAAAAGAGGTGCAGGAGCTCATTAGCATAACTTATTTGCATATGCCACACCCCCTGACATCACCGGAAGTGTGTCAGAAGGCAACACCCACCGCTCAGGCTCCACTGGACGGTTTTGGATTGCTAGCTATTGGGGGGGGACGCGCAGATCCTCATGCTCCTCGTGTCCTGGGGCTGCTGGGAGCAGGGGGCGGGGCGTTGCATGTTCCCGCCCCCTGGGCTCTTTACTGCCGGAGCTCCGCTCCTGTGCGCTCCTGCAGGAAATGACCCCTGTATATGTATTTTTTAAGTCTTGTGCAAGGGGAGAAGGGAACGCTGAATTCCCAGGATAATCCAGGCTTGTTCCCAAAAAGAAGCCATGATTTGTGTGAACCAGACACAGGAATCCTCTCGGATTCAACAAGCAGAATTTTCACAGATTCTGTTCCAGGCTGCCTTCCCTACCCGTTGGTTATATGATGTCGGCCTTCTGACCCGTCCGTCTGTCATCTGCTTGGTGTCCGGTTTGGCAGCCTGCACGTTATGAATCTCTCGATGTTTTTTCCCCACTTCCCCAGCTGGCACCCGAAAACACGCTGATGTCCTTCCAGAAGGCGGTGGAGCAAAAGATCTACGGCGTGCAGGCGGACGTGGTGATCAGGCAAGTGTGCCCCACTCGCCTCTGGAGCAGAGTCCCCCAACCTCTTTGAGCCTGGGGGCACCTCTGGAATTCTAACATGGGGGGTGGGTGGGCGCAAGAGAATGGATGCCACGGGAAGTGGATCTGTGTGCGCACGCGCAGTGTTTTGTACCTCTCAGGCGCAATCTCGTAGGCGGAGTTGTTTTCTGTTGCCCCAGAAGGTCGGACCAGAACCAAGAGGTTGAAATCAGTGTTCCCTCTAAGCTGAGTGAGTGTGAGCCAGCTCACAGTTTCTCAGCCTCCGGCTCACAGATCTTTCTCTCAGCTCAGGAAGGGATGGGCTCCAGAGCAAACTAATTTATGCAGCAGCCAAATTGCGCACTCACAACTTTAATGCCAGTCGCTCACAAAATAGGGTTTTTTCTCACAAGACTCCACAGCTTAGAGGAAGCATTGGTTGAAATGAAATCTAAAGAGTTTTTGGCTAAACATTAGGAAAAAACTTCCTGACCGTTAGAGTGGTTCCTCAGTGGAAAAGGCTTCCTCGGGAGGTGGTAGGCTCTCCTTCTGGGGAGGTTTTCAAGCAGTGGCTTGATGGCCATCGGACAGCAATGCTGATCCTGTGAACTGAGGCAGATCATGAGAGGGAGGGCAGGAAGGGTTGCCTCAGTGCTTAGTTCTTACGGCCCTTTCTTATACCACCATTGATTGATGGCCGCTTCGGAGTCAGGAAGGAATTTTCCTCCAGGCCAGACTGGCCCAGGGGTTCTGGAAGTTTTCTCTGGGCTTAGAGCCGAGGTCACTTGGGGAGGGGAGGCAGCTGTGAATTTCCTGCATTGTGCAGGAGCTTGACTAGATCAGGGGTGTCAAACATGCAGCCCGGGGGCCGGAACAGGCCCCCAGATGGCTTCTATCAGGCCCGCAGAGGAACTGACTGTCTCCTGCTTCTTCTTCCATTTCTGCTGCTGCTGCTGCATCATCATAGGTTTGCAGCTGACAGATACACACCTGAACAGCATACTCAAGATTGCAGCAGCACAGGCATATTGATGCAGTAATTCAGACCAAGAGGTGTCAGTTATCAGACACTGTTAAATAAACAAAATATTGCAAGAGTGGTGATGTTTTAAGCATGTTTTTATTTAAAGTAAAAAAAAAAACCCTTTGTGTTTGTGTCCTTTATAAAATTTGTATCTCCATTACCTGGCATTACATTTTATGACACGCCCGGCCCGGCCCGGCCCAACAAAGTCTCATTTATGTCAGATCCGGCCCTCGTAACAAATGAGTTCGACACCCCTGGACTAGATGACCCTTGGCATCAATATTTCTATGTTTCTAAGCCTTGTCCTTTCTCTCATCCAGTTACGATGGGGTGCCTTTCCTAATGCACGATGAGACGCTGCGGAGGACCACCAACGTGGAGGAGGTGTTTCCAGAGCTGGCCTCTGCGCATTCTTCCATGTTCAACTGGACGGACCTAGAGAGTTTGAACGCCGGCGAATGGTTCTTCGAGGTGTGTGAGGTGGACCCACCGAGGCCAGTGGGCTTGCTAAGCGCCTGGGCTAAGTTCTCAAGCCATTTTTCAGCCTGCGCTTTCCTGCAGTGTGGGAGGCAAAGAAATAAATGTCTCTCTCCAGAACAGGGGTCATTTCCTGCAGGAGCGCACAGGAGTGGAGCTCCGGCAGTAAAGAGCCCAGGGGGCGGGCACATGCAACAAGCCCCACCCCCTGCTCCCAGCAGCCCTCAGTCAGAGCAAGAAGCAGCCAGGTAAGTTGCAGAGCCCCCCGGCCCCAAACAGTCCAGTGGCACCTTTAAGACCAAGTTTTATTCAGGTACAAGCTCTCCCTCCTCTGTGAGGGCAGATCTGCACGTCCCCCCCCCCAATAGATAGCAATCCAAAACAGTCCAGTGGAGCCTGAGCGGTGGGTGTTGCCTTCTGACGCACTTCCGGTGATGTCAGGGGGTGTGGCATATGCAAATAAGTTATGCTAATGAGTTATGCTAATGAGCTCCTGCACCTCTTTTTCTACGAAATGACCCCTGCTCCAGAAACATTTCTCAAGGTCGCTCGTTGCACTCCAAATTGATTCATCTGAGTGCCGTTCCCTGTCCCAATGTGTTGTGCTCAGAAGCATCTGTATTGGCAACGGTAGACGTCTCTAGATTCTAGTCCAGTGGCACCTTCGAGTCCAATAAGATTTGGGGCGCTGTCAGGGTCTGGTTCCTCCGGGGCGACCGCTCGTGGATTTGGGGTCTCCAGGATGTGATTTTGTAGCCGGTAGCAACAGAATACAAAACTAACCGGGAAGGGAGAGTATAAGTCTAGAAATGGAAAGGTGGAAACTCTCCCAAAGAGTTTTAAAGACAAGGAATGATACCCATAGGAATATATTGAATATATTGAATATGTAAACACATACAGCATTTCAAAAGACTGTAATGCACATCGTACAGTCCCACAAACCACAGAGTGGTGATTCTTAAAGCAACACAACCCTAAATGGTCCACAAGCACAAGCGCTCCAAGGGGCAATCACAGTCCATAGAGAAAATACTGTCCAGCAATTTCCCCTCTAAGCTGAGTTAGTGTGAGCTAGCTCACAGTTTTTTAGCCCCCGGCTCTCACCTTTTTGCCTCCGCTCAGGAAGGAGGGCTCCAGAGCAAACTAATCTATGCAGTAGCCCAATCGCTCGCTCACAACTTTCATGCCAGTAGCTTACAAAGTAGAATTTTTGCTCACAGGACTCCACAGCTTACAGGGAACATTGCTGTCAAGTATACCCTGACAGGGGTATTGTACGTAATATTAAGACTGTTTCGAAGGCAGTCCTTCATCAAAGGGTATAGTGAGTCAAGGTAGGTGCGATGACCATGCACAAATTGAAATGCTATTTCATATTAAGTGGAGTCCTGGCCCCACTGATGGACCTCCTGATGGCACCTGGTATTTTTGGCCACTGTGTGACAGAGTGTTGGACTGGATGGGCCATTGGCCTGATCTAACATTGGCTTCTCTTATGTTCTTATGTTCAAGGGTCAGCCGTAGCTGGTATTTGGAAGGGGGCAGGCAAGGGCAAAGGCAGGCAGTGGCAATCCACCTCTGAAACATCTCTTGCCTTAAAAACAGGTCTAGCTTGCCACCTAGTGGTGTATAGCACTAAAAACTGCTGGCTGCCAGACAATCTTAGGATCTCCTGGCTATTCTGTACGCAATGCCATACGATATTTGTTAATTTTTATTACTGTTGACCCAACACGGCTACCCTCTGAAACGGCAGGCACCTCTGTGACCAGGGTTCCCTCTAAGCTGAGTTAGTGTGAGCTAGCTCACAGTTTTTTAGCCCCCGGCTCACACATTTTTGCCTTAGCTCAGGAAGGGAGGGCTCCAGAGCAAACTAATCTATGCAGTAGCCAAATCACCTGCTCACAGCTTTGATGCCAGTAGCTCACAAAGCTCAATTTTTGCTCACAAGACTCCACAGCTTAGAAGGGAGCGTTGTCTGTGACTTCTCTCAGAAGCCAAACTGGGTCGTGAATCCTGACACACTCTTGCCCCCTGCGCCTCTTCTAGCTCTGTTTCTCGCAGCGTGTGTTGCAGGTGCCATAAAAGAACGTCCTTTAAATGCCTGAGGGTATCAGAAGACTACCCTCAGAAAGGAAAGCTAAAAGGCTGGAGGGCCTTTTGGTTTAGCATAAACGAGGAGGCGGCGGGATCTACTGATCTGTAGAGGGAAGTGGGTAGAGAGTTGCTTTTCTCCCTCGCGTAGGGATAGTAAAAAGCAGGGGCACCCAAAGAAATCGATCACCGTGCAGGAAGTTCAGGAGGGGTGGAAGGAAGAGCCTCTCGTACACAATGATCTGGATCCCGTGAGTATTTTTTGCCAGCAGAGGCGGTTTTCCTCCGGGAAAGGAGCCTTTATCTGATGATATACATAACCGGGGATTCTGCCACCCGTTAGAAATGTTCACCAGCTTGGCACACCTACCCAAATGGCCTCTGCATTTTATTACTTTTGTAGATTTCAGTTTTGCATAGTTATGTGTCTCCTTTCACTTCCTGCATTCCAGGGGTCATTTCGTAGAAAAAGAGGTGCAGGAGCTCATTAGCATAACTCATTAGCATAACTCATTTGCATATGCCACACCCCCTGACATCATCGGAAGTGTGTCAGAAGGAAACACCCACTGCTCAGGCTCCACTGGACTGTTTTAGATTCCTAGCTATTGGGGGGGGGATGTGCAGATCTGTCCTCGCAGAGGAGGGAGAGCTTGTACCTGAATAAAACTTGGTCTTAAAGGTGCCACTGGACTGTTTGGGGCCGGGGGGCTCTGCAACTTACCTGGCTGCTTCTTGTTCTGACTGAGGGCTGCTGGGAACAGGGGGTGGGGCTTGTTGCATGTGTCCGCCCACGGGACTCTTTACTGCCGAAGTGCCGCTCCTGTGTGCGCCTGCAGGAAAGGACCCCTGCTACATTCTATGACTCCCCGGCCAGGCTGTGTTTTATTGTTTATTTTCATACCCCCTACATAAAAAAAAAATGTCTTCCTGGTGATGACCCATGGATAGCATCTGAAGAAGCGGGCTGTAGTCCGGGGAAGCTTGCATGGTAGTCGAATTCTGTTATTCAGAGAGCCAGTTTGGTGTAGTGGTTAAGTGTGCTGACTCTAATCTGGGAGAACCGGATTTCATTCCCCACTCCTCCATTTGCACTTGGCTGGATGACCTTGGGCAAGCCGTAGTTCTGAAAAGGGCTGTCCTTGAAAAAGAGCAGTTTCTGTCAGAGCTCTCTCAGCCCCACCTACCTCACAGGGTGTCTGTTGTGGGAGGGGAAGGGAAAGGGGTTTGTAAGCCGCTCTGAGACACCTTTGGGTAGTGAAGGGCGGGGTAGAAATCCAATCTCTTCTTCTTCTTTTACCTCACAGGGTGTCTGTTGTGGGGAGGGGAAGGGAAAAGAGTTTGTAAGCCGCTCTGAGACTCCTTTGGGTAGTGAAGGGCGGGGTATAAATCCAATCTCTTCTTCTTCTTTTACCTCACAGGGTGTCTGTTGTGGGGAGGGGAAGGGGAAGGAGTTTGTAAGCCGCTCTGAGACTCCTTTGGATAGTGAAGGGCGGGGTATAAATCCAATCTCCTCTTCTTTACCTCACAGGGTGTCTGTTGTGGGGAGGGGAAGGGAAAG